GGGGGGGGTGTATGGGGGTATTTGGGGTGGGTATGGGGGTGTTCGTGGGGTTATTAGGGGTTCTGGACCGAAAGGGAAAAAAAAAAAATAAAAAAAATTGCGGGGTGCCGACAACCCCCGACCGGTAGGTGCCGACCAGCCGACCGATCGACGGGTCGGCAGCCGACCAGTCAGGGGTCGCCGACGGTTGGGGTGTGCAACACTGCCGGGGGTTGTAACATTGGGTACCCATGCCTGAGTTGGTGAGTAGAGTGAGTTTTATGGCTGTGTCAGATTACTGCCATTCTTGTCAGGGGTTTGGGCCGACAGTCCGCTAGAATTGCAGGGTTCGTGTGAGTAAAGTGAACCACTTTTCTCAGGGGCATCGCTAACTCTGGGCGATGTGGTGAGTCCTTATCCACCAGTCAAATGCATCCTGGGCAGACTGTCAGGGTTCAACTTCCTGATGAGTCAGTGAAAGTCCGACAAAACAGTCTGGCACAAGTCCTTTCGTTTGTGCAGTTGAGCATAGCAAACATGACAACACACACACAGTAAGCCAACCACTTTTCTCAGGCGCATCGCTAACGCTGGGTGATGTGGTGAGTCCTTGATCCGTCAGTCGGATGCATGCTGGGCAGAATGTTGGGTTCGACCTTCTGATGAGTTGGTGAAAGTCTGATGAAACAGTGTGGCACAATCATGCTTTTTTCGTGGAGTTGTGTACAGCGAACACGACGTCACACACACACGCAACCCCCAGCACCCCCACACACACAAGAAAGAAAACTAGATGCACACCGAGGATAAACCTTATGGTCCAAGACCACTCCGATTCAGTTTGCTGGGTCAACTGATCATCTGAACAGGCTCTCTCTCTCTCTCTCTCTCTCTCTCTCTCTCTCTCTCTCTCACACACACACACACACACACACACACACAGTTGGCTGCCTATGAAGAAGCAATATGGCTTTGGTCGACTTCGCCTGTCTCTAACTGTGGAAATGATGTTCGTTTGGGCATTAGATAGTTCAGTCCAAGAAAGAACTGCTGTGTACTTTGTGACTGAATATTGAAAAGAAAGCAAGCGAGAAAGGCAGAGTGTGTAGACAAACAGAAGACTGGTAAATCCGTGATGAAGCTGGAACTATTGTGTGACTTTTAGTTACCTTAAGGCCTGGCGTGCCATTCTGTTGCGGTCAGCATCAGGAGAACCCTTCAGACCATCAAGCTCCCTAACAACTGACATGTGGGCCAACAAATAATGAACTCAATCAGTTCACTGCTTACATGATTGCTAACAGTATTCATGATTATGTGGGCTTAGAAGCTTTGGCAAGCTCCTTCCATTCACCATGTGCTTACAGAGTCAGGTGATAGATAACCTCTTCAAAGCATGGCACATCACTGCCACCCATTCAACATGAGATCGTTAGCCACCCAAGACACTGGTTGACAGACAACAGCTTAAATGAGTGGGAGAAAAAGGAATGAGACGCCCACGTTCACAATTTCTCTCTCGAAAAAGGAACACCAAACATCATGCACACACAAAAATAAGCAAAAACTTCTCTCTCTCTCTCTCTCTCTCTCTCTCTCTCTCTCTCTCTCTCTCTCTCTCTCTCTCTCTCTCTCTCTCTCTCTCTCTCTCTCTCTC